TTCCACCACTCCCTCTCTCGATGGTTCAGGAGGGCGTCTAAAAGAGGACATTGGGCAGCTGACCTTCACCTCCAAGGCTCTCGCCCTGCATGGAGCTCTCAGCCAGACTTTCCAAACTCTCAGGCCTCCCAGACTCCTCAAGCCTCCTGCTCCAATCCTCCTCAGCTTACCACCCTGGGTGACCCTCAGCCCTTCGCCTCCACAGCCCACCCTGCCAAGCCCACCCCGCCCTTATGGGTGTCCTCTTGCTTCTTCAGGTTCCACCCCAAGTTCTTTGCCTTCAGGTTCTCGGGATCTCTTCTCACTAATACCCAGGGTCTGTAGAGGCCTTAGCACCTGACTCCTCAAATATGTCCAAAAGCAGCAAGGTTGATATTACTGTTACTGTGATCATTATTATTTCCTCACCCAGAAACCACTGAAATGACTCTCAAGCCTACAACAGCTCCCTCACCCACACACCTGGAGGCCTTGGATAGGTTAATGCATCCCTGCTTATTTAAAATTCTCCTTTCTTTGGCTTCTAGGGCACCGTCTTATCCCAGCATTTCTCAGAGTTCAGATCCACGACATTCATCACCACCTATGAGTGGACTCGAATTGGAACATCCAAAGCCCTTTCTCCTGCTGCTGCATCTGGCCACCAGATCCAAAGCCAGGTGACATAGGGCACAGCCTGCTCCCACATCAGGGCCCTTGCACTGGTGGTCCCTCTTGCCGCACATTGTCACAGGTGTCACTCTCTGGTGCCAAATGTTGCCCACCCAGAGAGGACTTCCCTGACCACCAGGAGCATGGCCACCCAAGCAAAACTCAGTGACGGACCAAGACAAAATCAACACTGCCATCCCTCCCCACGGGTCGCTCCATGCTTGGATTGCGCCCTGCTTACCTGGATCAACGTCTCCAGCTCCTGGGGACTCACGCAGATGTGATCCCGCAGGAATTCCGCCTTCTCCAGGGCGATGGTGTTCTTCTGGCTGCTCTCAAAGGGCTGCTCCAGTGCCCGGAAGACGAGACCTCCCGTGACGAGGTAGACCACCACGACCACAAAGATCGCAACCACGGTTTTCCACTTCATGACGGTCTGCAGGCCCCCCTGGGAGGCGCCTTCCATTCTGGCTACCACCGTGGCGCGGGAGGAAATGGAGAGGCGAGGAGCCGGGTGGGGTTGGTGCCCGTTAGTGGTGCTCTTGGGCTGACACACCGGCGGGGCTGCTGCAGGAACGGCCACTGAGGGTGGGGTGAGGGGGAAAGAGAGTGTTGTTTATGATCACAAAGCACAAAACTTGTCAGCAACAAAGCCCAGATGTCCTCCTTAAGCCAGCTCTCAAATGTGAGGATTAAAAACTGGTTCACCGAGGCTGCAGGTAGGGAATTTGATCCCTTGCCTAGGTACCCATTTTGAGTTCTTACAAAGGACCACCAGGAGTCCTAATTTTGAAGACAAAAAAAAAAAATTATTAATTGAATTTTGAAATGCTTACATTTTTCTGCAAGCATCCAAATTGGAAAACCACTTCCCTGTTATTTATGATTCATCTCCTCCCCTAGCTTCCTTGTTTAAACAATGTGTAAGAAACGCCAAAAAATAAACATCTTTGAAAAACAGGCATAGCATTCAACTGGAGAAAATTAAACAGGAGAGGGATACCCAGCTAGTCTATCCAAGTACAAATACAGAGAGGAGATGAACATCGATGACTAATAAAAGACTGTCTCGTCACCCAAGTAGAGTGATCTTGCTGGATGCAAAGGGAGTCAAAAATCCGACACAGAAAGGAAGGTTTGGGTTTCTGAAGACCAATAGTAATGAAGATAAAGACAGGGGGTCAGAATGAGGGGTGCAAACAAAGTCAATGATTTATGTTAATTAGCGAAGCTTTGTGACAAAAATCATAAGAATAAAATCAATCCCAAATGTATTTCCTAAAAGAAAATGTAACTGTCCCTGATCTGTTAGTAATAGGATTTGGCTTCTATTGTCTTCCAATAAGAAGTCACTGAAAAGGAAATTTTCCCTGGTTTTCAGAACACAAGGAATTCTCTAAAGTCCCTGGTTCTCTGTGATGGCAATTTCATTACCTTGGAAATAAATAAATTAAGCTGGTGGCTCTTCTGCAACAACAGAGAGTTCAAGGTAGTGTCCCCCACATAGTGCTGCTGTGCATTGCGGAAATCTTGTACAGCAGTGACCCATCGTGGCACTTCCATTCAGTCATCCCTTATTATTCTAATTGTTATCATGGCCTCTGTGGTGGTGCAACCTGGCTGTTATGTAAACAAGGTATTAGGAGATGGCAAACCTAAGTGAGGCCAATGATCCACTCCAGCGGGGCTGAACTGCCCAATCTCTGCACTGGGGAAGTCAAGGTGAATCAAAGAGCCGGAATCTCACTCCTAGTTCAAAATATCAATGATCCTACCAACACTTGGCTGTCGGCATGGCCGCTTGAAGAATCTAAATCTGCCTCTCATCCTAGACCCTCAAATTCAGTTTTTCTCTTTGGAAACTAAGCTGAACATCGATCTTTTACTGTCTATGATTCTTTACAATAGAATCATTCAATGCTAAATTATCCTGGGGTTTAACATGAATGCAAAATTCTCTAGGATCTCAGATTGAACTATGTATAAATTAGAATCGCCACCACTCTGTGGCAACTGGAAGGATAGCCTCCAAGGTACCCCCAGGCAATCCCCAGAACTCGTGATTGTCACTTTACATGGCAACAGACACTCTGCAGATGTGGGTAAATTAAAGATTTTGAGATGAGGAGATTATGGTGGATTAAGGTGAGCCCAATATAATCACAAGAAGATCACAAAGAAGGAGACGTGAAGGAAGAAACAGATATGGGAGTGATGTGACCACAAACCAAGGGATGTGGTCCCTCCTAACGAAAACCCAAGGAAAAGATTCTCCCCTAGCACCTCCATAAAGAATCAGCCTTACACCTTGCCCAGTAAAACTGATTTTGAACTTTTTTTGACTTCCAGAACCATATTATTATTGATTAGTGCCGTTTGAGGCCCTGATGTTTGTGGCAATTTGTTACAGCAGCCACAGGAAACTAACACACCCTCTACTAGATTAGGTCCCCCTGCCTAGAGCTCACTGCACTATGTTACTGATGGAGTCTGGTCACTTTTCCAGAAAACTCATTATACTGAACGTTCCATGAAGACAGGCACTGTGTCCACCCGTCATCTCTGAATCCCCAGTGTTCTGCATGATACCTGGCACACAGTGGGCAGCCAATCAATGATGACTGACTAAGTGAAGGAAGGAATATTAGCATAGCTGAACCACACATACAATGCCAATGAGAAGTGTCAGATAGAAAGCAACTTGACGGTCCAGCGGCACTGAACAGCAGGTCCTCAAACACAGCAGTGCTCTGTTCACACCACCACCCCTCTTCAGAGGTTCTCACAGTCAGGAGCCTCCTCCCCACCCTCATCTGCCTGGCCAACCCCCCAACCTCCTCGATGCTGGCCTCCTCCGGGAAGTCCTCCTGGACACTTCCTGGCAGATTCAGCCTGAGCGTCTCCCCCACTAGCCTATCAACCTCTTGGAGTCAGAAAGCTCATCTTTTAATCACCGATCTCCACTTCTTGGCACAGTGCCTGGCCAAGCCAATGTTAAACAGCAAATGTTTATTTTCTGTTGTTATTGATGTTGATTACTCCTTCAGACTACATGCCGCCCAGAATTGCCACTACCCTCAATGGGAAGCATTTATATGATACTGATTGAATGGAAATAAGTCACAGTTCCCCCCAGCTTTGGGGTGGTGACAGTCCACTTAGGGAACACACCCTACAGTACCAGGTAACTAAAATTGGGATAAAGTCTTATCAGGTGACCAAGGATGGCCTGACCATAGAGGCTAGTTGGAGCTGAGTCCCCTTCACTGATCTCCATTACTGATCTCCGGAGCTTCTAGCATCCCCAAGGCTGAGCAGAATTGGGCATGAGAAAGGTCTTTTTAGGCCAGTTCCTGGTGCCTGCTTGCTAGGAGAATGTCCCTAGGAGAGAGTTTGGACAGAATCCAGCAACTCCTTAGTTTCCAAAGCACTGGAGCAAAAACTAGAACTTCAATCCCAAACCTCTCAGTGACTGGCTGACCTTGAAGTGGTCACTGGGCTCCTCTGTTTGCTTATCTGTGCTATGTGAGTAATAGATGCGGTTTTCTTGTTGTTTTTGACCTGAGGGTTGTCACGAACAGCAAATAAGCTGCTGGGTTTACTGATGGGAGCATATTTGTAGAAGTCAGGAGTACTGGCAGGGACCTGAGGACACTGCAAAACCTTTTGTGCATTTGACCAAAGATGAAGTTAGCCTCTTTAGCATATATGAGTGTACTTTTTGAGGGCTGGAAAGGAATTTGGACAAACTCCTTAAATTGGAAAAACTTTAAAAACTTCCAAAGGGTGTTTGAATTAGTCCATTTCTTCTCTTCAGGAACCATAGTTGTTCTCCCACTAACAAAATTGTCCTGTGATCTGGGATGAGCCTCTGGAGGTCTCTGTGCCTGGTGCAATTGAAGAAGCAAAATTAGACAGATGACGCTGATGGTGGTGATGGTTGCTAAGGTGGCAGGAGCCCCTACCACACAGTGAGCACTTACCTGTGCCTGTCACTCTGATAAATGCTTTGCTGATATAGCTGGCTTTGGACCTCACCATGAAGGATTATCACACTGTGTGCATCCGGGTCCTCCCAGAAGCAGATGTTGAGAAGGGATTATACGTGCATGGGTTTTAATAGGGGAAATGTCTATGTGAGAGAAAATGAGAGGGAGTCAGCAAGGCCAGAAGGGTCATCAGACACTGTGTCAGGCTGCCCCTGAGTGAAGAAAGGGGACGAGAGAGGAATGTAAGTGTCCCGCATCACCTGCACTCTAAGGAAGGTTCAGAAATGTTATCAAGGACCCTTAAGCCCTGGGTCTCCCAGGACATCCTTCTTGTAACTCAGCCTGTGGGGCCCATAGGAAATGACCTACCATGCAAAGCCAGCAATGGATTTATCCTGCCCCCCTTTCGTGTGTAGTACTGGGGACTGAACCAAGGAGTGCTCTATCACTGAGCTTTTTTAATTATTTTAATTTGAAACAGTATCTCACTAAGTTTCAGAGGCTGTCCTAAACTTGTGATCCTCCTGCCTCATCCTCCCCTTTTGCTGGGATTACAGGCATGTGCCACCACACCTAGTTCCAACAATGGATTTCACAGCAGCAGCGGTGGCTCTAGGTCACTGACACTCCTTCTAATGGAATCCTGCAGGCACCTGCTCACTGTCACCACCCAGCCCCACTGCACAGGTACAGAAACTGAGACCCAGGCAGGTTAAATAGCTAAGCCAAGGTCAATACCCAGAAAGTAGTGGAACCAGGATTAAAATTGGAATACTCTGACTTCAAAGTCCGTTCTCCTGTGTGTCATTAAGAACAGGACAGTAGGAAGCAAAGCAACTTCAGGGGGAAGGGCATTTGTTTCAGACTGGCATTATAGCATTTCCTAGTCTATGAGGTTAACTACTTCGTTTCCTAGTGGTGATAGAGCTCTTTTCCATAGAACATATCAATAATGGGTGCATCATAAAAAGTAATAGCCTAGAATACCTCACAGTTCCAACAGAAAAATATTTGGCAGAAAAATGACTGCAGAGAGTTGACAAGAAAGGCAATATTGGGGCTGAGGATGTAGCTCAGTGGTAGAGTGAGGCCCTGGGTTCCATCCCCAGAACTGCAAAACAAGAAATGTTGGAAGACAATGCTCTTCAGTTATTGGTCATTTTTAAATGTTTCCTCACACATATTAGTACATTTCCCTTTTACCTAAATATGGGTGGGTATGGAGGTAGCCATGGAAATCAGCTTTTTCATAGTTCAATTCTTAGTAATTCTATATTCTTCAGGTTTTCCCATGCTCCCTAGATTCCACTGCATCGTTAGTTCATGTATTCAATCAGCAAACATTTGAGTTTGCCTGTCACCGTGTTTGGCACTGGGGGGTTGTAAATGAGTGACACATCCCTGCCTTCAGAGTTAGTGGGAGAATTGACAAAGCTCTTAATGCAGGAACCCGTTCTTTTCACACAACCATGGGTGGAAGGCAGGGACCATTATCTGCCCTGCTTCATGGGTAAAGAAATTGAGACCTTGAATCACTTTTCAGAAGTCAGTGAGCGAGCGGTGGCATGCCTGAATCTGTCTTCAGACACCTAA